TTCTTACATGAAATTACAATATATATTAAAATGCTTTAAACTCAACAACTACTTATCCTAAGTTGTTATCGACTTATCAAAGTTTTTGTAAGAAAAGCTCTAAAAATTATGCCATTTTGATATTAAATAATTTATGTTTTTATTATTTAAAATAATCAAATAAAAATATGTTGTTATTTTGTTGAAGAATGCAAACATTTCTATAAAAATTACATTGAAATTTTAACTATATCAATAGCTATAAAAGTATTCAGTTAAATTTGTTCTACTCTGTATATAAATATTAAAATATTAATAGTATTCTATTAATTAAAACATTTGAGTTTTAAAGTTATTATTCTTATTTATCAAACATTGGAAATCATTTCATTAACATTCTAGTATCCCCTCAAATTAGACCATTCAATTTCGTGGCTGCAGTTTATTCTGGGGAACCAGTTCAGTTGACATAATTGGTGATAAAAGGTGATAAATCACTAAGAATATTATGGTATTTAAACAGTAAAAAACTATCAGTATCTCAAACTGATATTATTACTAACTATTTAAACGACAGAGCAAATAGTTTGTCAATAACTGCTGCTAGTTTATCTCATCGTGGAAATTATACATGCGTAGCATAAAATATCGTAGGAATGGATTCGTATTCAGCCTATTTAGAAGTGAATGGTACACAAAATATATGATCTTCACTTTATTTCATTGCGTTGTCCTAACTTATTAATCTTTTTGCTATTATATGCTGATAATTTATTATTATATAATTTATTAATAATTCAGTTGTTCTTTAAAATCCTTTCAGAATTTTTTTTTAGAATATAAAAATTTATGAAAAATGATTATAAATTCAAAAGTTAAAATTATTGTCATAACTTTCAGTACCACCTCGAATAAGACCGTTTGAATTTGAAACACCAGTTTTTGCTGGTGAACCGATTCAGTTGACTTGTTTAGTTACGAAAGGTGATATACCTTTAAGAATATCATGGTATTTTCACAGTACAGAGATAACCTCATCTCAGAAAGGCGTTTACACTAATTTAATGGGAGATAGATCTAGTATTTTATCTATACCTTCTACTGGGCTATCTAATAGAGGAAATTACACTTGTGTTGTCAAAAATGCTGCTGGGAAAGATTTTTATTCGGCGTACTTAGAAGTTAATGGTACAATTATTATTAAATTGGAAAAGCGTATTTGATATGTGTTGTAATTTAAATGGCTTTTTCTTTTTTCTTTTTTTTGTTGCTATTTATTATTTTTAACTAATTTTCTCCAAATGTTGTCCATATACAAACTTATACATTCAAAATTATTATTTTTGTTTACAATTCAAATATATATTTTGTATTTTTTTAAGTATTTAAAAATTAATACTTTTCGCATAAGTTAAAATGTAATTGTTAATTACAGTACGACCAAAAATATTACCGTTTTCATTTGGTGAATTGCCTAGTAACTCTGGTGATCCCGTACAAGTAGTTTGTACTGTTATTAAAGGCGACAAACCTTTAAGTATAAGTTGGAATTTTTACGGCGAAGAATTATCTTCTAATATGGGTGTTACTACTATGCCTATTGGAGATTCAATGAATGTT